CCGCAAACGGGCTGCCGGGGCACAAGTACCGCGGATCCTCTAGCCATTCTCAGCACAAGTCCGACCCCGGTGGTGGTGGTGGTGGTGGCGGCGGCGGGAAGACGTCAAGTGGAGTCGCTAATCGACCGGGCAGTGGACACTCGGCCTTGACGGCTACTTTGGACGTCTCAATCGCGTTGCCAAGGGAGCCGGCAGCGTCGACAGTCGCGGCTGTACAACTGGTCGGTCGGAACGTGAAGACAGACGCTCTCAGTGTCGATACCGACCTGGTGACAGGCGATGCTGAGGCTTGTCGGGGTGTGGTGATGCCGACGCTGGCACCGAGCGAGGCAGATGAGAGGGCGAACAGTACACCTTCGGGTTTGACTTCGTCCGAGTCCGGCGTGTTCTCAGACGCCCCAACCAATAGTGACACTTCGTGTGGTTCGATCACTTCTTGCTCAGGCTTTTCGGCGCTCCCTTCACCCGGCTCCACCCTCACCTCGTCACCAGAATTGTCACCCTCCTCGTCTTCTCCGCTCTCCGCCTCTGCGCGCTCCTCTTCCTCCTCTTCCTCTTCCTCTTCCTCTTGCTCTCCCTCCTCCTCCTCCCCCTCCCCCTCTCCCTCATCCTCCGCCTCCATCCCCTCCTCTTCCTCTCCCTCCTCCCCTTCGTCCCCCTCCTCCCCGTCCTCCTCTTCCGCCGCCGCCGCCGCCGCCACCATCACCGCCGCCTCTCCTTCCTCTTCTTCTTCTTCTTCTTCTACTTCTTCACACGCTCCTGACGACCCTGTCGGCTTCTCACATTCACTAACCCATGACGCTTGCCCTTGTCTGCCGTCGACTACCGACAAGTCTGAAGTCGAGGCGAGCTCAACCGTCTGCCTCGACGTGGTCGGAAATCACGACGCCGACTCTGGAAAGGGCAACTCTTCCGCAGGGTCGGCCACCACCTCGGGAGACGAGAAGGAGATGGGCCCAGACACCACGGACCTCGTGGGGGCGGGTATCTCTCACATCTCTTCACACTCGGAGACGGGCAAAAAAGCCAGCTCTCTGGGGGCGGCAGATCAACGGCGAAGAGGAGCATCCGCTGTGAAATCCACGACGGACAACGTCGTCAACAAACTGGAGGAGGAAAAAAAGGAGCAATTAATCGCTAAGGCAGACGAAGAAAAGGAGGACGTCGAGCAGACTAATCAAATTAATGGACTTCCTGCTGATTGCCCGAGTGAATACACCATCATCGCTACGATTAGCCCCGACCAGCTGTCCCACTACCAAGCTCCCATCCTGCAGAGCGCCCTTAAATCTGTCCCGCTGGCGTCATTGGCACCCTGCGAGAACTGCTCGTCTGCCGAGTCAAACGACCCCGGGTGAGTTCTATTGCCTAAGCTTTGATATAAATCCGCTAACCTGCTGACTTTTCTCATGGCATGGACCATCCTCATCTTAGGATTACCAGTTGTGCAAATCCACTT